ACGACAAAAGTTATCACCCAATCTGTATGAAATTTATATGCCTCATTTAAATTAGTGAAATGAAGATTCCTATTGAATTTCAGCAATTTCCGTCAATTACTTCTAGAGTTATGGCTCTTGTTTACTTTGTTGAACCTTGTGAACGTTCGAACGACAAAAGTTATCATCCTATCTGTACGAAATTTATATGCATTATTTGAATTAGTAAAACGAAAAAGCCTGTTGAATTTCAACAATTTCTGTAGATTACTTCCAGAGTTATGGCCCTTGTTTTACTTTTAAGGACCTTGTGGAACCTCAAACGACCAAAAGTATAATGTCATATGTATAAAATTGTTTATTAAATGCCCCTAATTATCTACAAAAGAATAAATATGCGACAACCCTTGTCGACCGCTCGGACGATTTAGCTGCTGTGGGCTTATGTTATGTTGCCTGGCAACCTATCTTTAAGAATGATCACACAGTACAAGGCCTAATTATAAAACAAAACATGGCTAATTAAATTGATTAAATGTTAAGCTTTTAATCTGTTAATTTTATTATACCTGACAGTTTACATCACGACACGCACAGAGCTTTGTCGTGCTCAGGGATATTATGATTTAGCACAAAATAGTTACTTTTCCGGCGTGCAAAATGAACTACGGGTCTGATCCAGTTTCGGTCATTTTCAAAAGCCCTCAGTCCTGAACGGCATATACGGCCGACATTGAACCCATGATTTAAAGTTTTATCACATCAATATCTTGACTAAGTTCAATAATGAACATTTTCTCCTTCTAATTGAGGTAGAATGTTCAAACTTGGTGTAGGCGTTCATAAGGTGGATGCCTTGATGGAGTTTAATGATGGACATTGTCTGCTTACGGTAAGCAGAGATAAGCAATTCTGTGGCAGCATGCAAGAACCTGATAACCCACATTTTCCCCAAAATTAAGATAAGAGTGCCATTGAACGAAGATGGGTAGAATCCATCTTGACTGTAATCATGAAGACACTGTGAATATATTTGACATGATAACCAAGTCTATAATAGTTTTAACCTGATATAAAAATAAGCATATTCCATGCAAGAACCTGATAAGCCTCATAAGATCGGATTTGTGTGCCAACGTTTCCATGCAAGAACCGGATAACCCACAAGTCACACCCAAGGTCATTTATCTCGGGTTGGTTCCTTTCGATATTCGCGCATATCGGATCGTAACTTCATGGATTATGGCCCCCAGGACCGTAACTAAGTTTAGTCATTTCAGGACTAACACATGGTTCTATTTTATTTCTATAATTCGCTAGCGCGTAGGGGTCTTTAGCAGTGGGAGTAAACCAGAGGACCCGGAGAAAACCCACAAAGTTGGGCAGGCGACCCTACTCCTTGTCACGTACAACCGGGGAATCGAAACCCCGCCAGTTGACTCAATGACAGACCTTATTATACAGCACGCGCGTGCTAACCATTCGGCCATCCAACCCCGCAAAATGGCTGCAAATAGTGTAAAAGTATGTCATACCAAGGTTGTGGTCCCTCTAGAAGTCACATTTTTATCCGATCTTGATGAAACTTAAAATATATGTTTATATCAAAACGATCTTGGTACCTGTCGATATTTGCATATATCGGGCCATGACTTCCTGGGTTATGACCACTGATTGTATGAAAAATCACGTTTTTAGCTTGTGGACCCTTTAGAGGTCACAATTTTTATCCAATTTAAAAACGGTTTAAATATATCACGGTTACCATAATGATGATTGAGTTGGAATTTCGTAAAAACTACCTGACAAAATTGCTACTACTTGTACGCAAATAGTGTAAAAGTACGTAATACCAAGTTTGTGGAATGTGGACCCTCTAGAAGTCACAATTTTTATCCGATATTGATGAAACTTGACATATATTTATATCCAACAAACAAATCTTGGTTCCTTTCGATATTTGTGCATATTGGACCGTAACTTCCTGGATTTTGGTCACTGTTTCTACAAAAAAATCACATTGTTTTAGTTTGTTCTCTGTACATCTCTTGCAAAATGTGGGCGTATCTTGCATGGTAACCGCTGGTTTAATTGTTGTAATTAATTAAAATTGGTATTTTCATTGAGTTGAAAACTGAATGGAATCGAATTCATGCAGGGCTAAAAAAATATTGTAAAGATCCCTACACACATGTGAATGATTGAAATAAAATTGTACCGAAAGTTTGTCCCGAAATGACATATTTTGTGTCAAGTGGACATTATAATAACACAATAATTAAGACGCTTTGTATTGTCAACACACTTCCATAACATATAATGCATTTTTCTTATTTCTATGTCATGAGATAGCGGTCTATCAAGGTTGTCCATGGCGTCCTAACCCGTTTTCCTGAAGTTTGAGTCATTTGCTTGATATTCAAGGGAGGATTTAAGTACGGGTGGGGGGGGCGCAATCCAGTGGGCGCACTTTAGAACCGGATTCTTGTCTCAGGTCACTGGAAATGGCATTTTTGGGCTTCTACCTTTCGAAATTGTCAGGAGTAGGCCACCTGGATCCCCTGTTGAGCGCTTCATCACCCGAGCCCCCCCCCCTCAAAAACCTAAGGTCGCTGAGTCCGCCCTTGATATTCCTAGTATATGTGGGATTTTGTTTTATTTACTTTTGTATGTGTTGTTTCAGTTGATTTATGACGTATTTTATAGAATTAAAGCCAACAAACCTTCAATTGGATTTCATCAATGTGGCTTATCAGGTTTTTGCATGGAAAATTCAAAAAGTATTATCTTAGAAATTCATATTTGCCCAAAAGTTTCTGTAAGGTTTGCAGTTACAAGACTGATTATCATCCAGAATTTTTATACTATGCCTCTGTACACATCAAAATCACAAAACATCAAGTAGAGATCATAGATTTGGAATTATAGACCACAGACTTTAGTTGCATTTTTCTCAAATTGAATGTCATGTGGCTTATCAGGTTCTTGCATGGTGCCACAGAATTTAATCGGTTGGTGCTTTGGTGCATGATAAATTTGGATATAATTAAGCGGAGCTAAGCAATTTCATTGGTTGATGCTTTGGGACAAGATAACTTTGATTCTATCTGATAGAGAATGATGAAACTTACTGTATAGTTAATAATCAATTTGATTGCTCGATACTTTTGAAAAAGATCAATGTGTAATTAATATGTGTCTATCTATTTATTTTGAGCTTTCGGCGGGGGACATCAGCCTCGCTGTTAGCTTGTTTCAAATTCAATGTGAAGCATTGGGACAATGAGAGGAAGAGCCGTATTGAATTTCCCTGTTGTCCTTCCATCTCTTGCAAAATGTGAGTGTTTCTTGCATGGCAACCACAAGTGGTTTATGTAAACGAAATCAACACATCCTCAACACTATCTAAAATCTTTTGGGCAGTAGAAACATACCATAGAAAAAAAATAATTTTACAATGGATAAAAGTAGGGGATATTTGATTTTTAAGTGTTATTAAAGTCACCTAATGAAACTGACGAAGAAACAAATGACAAAATGAAATGAAGTTCACATTCATTGATTTATTCCAAATGATCGTTAGACTAAGTAAGGCACAGACTGACCATTATAAGGGTAAAATGATACCCGGGGTCAAACAGCAAAGTTACCACAGCATCACAACCAAGTCAGTAACGGGTAAATCCTCCTCTGTTTGCCAAACAAGCATTGATCCGACGTGGCATACTCCTAATGAGTCGTCTAAGATCATTTTGGTCCAGATTGTCCCATTCCTGTTGCAACGCAGCAGCAAGTTCTTGGACATTGGCAGGACGTTGTTGACGTTGACGTAACCTCTGTCCAAGCATATCCCAGACATGCTCGATGGGGGAGAGGTCGGGACTCAGTGCTGGCCAAGGTAATGTGGTGATGTTCTGTTGTTGGAGGTAACCTGTAACGATCCTGGCCCTGTGACATCTTGCGTTGTCATCCTGGAAGATGAAACGGCGGCCATGACGTCGTGCGAACGGCACAACATGGACTGCCAAGATGTTGTCCCGGTAGTACTGGCCTGTAACACGCCCTGCAACAACATGTAAAGCCGTTCTACCAGCAACAGTGATGCCTCCCCACACCACAACAGAACCACCCCCAAATCGATCATGTCTGATGACGTTAACGTCTTGGAAGCGCTCGTTTCGACGACGCCACACCCTCCTACGTCTGTCCAAAAAATCAACAGTGAACCTTGACTCATCTGAAAACATCACATTGCTCCAGCGTCGATTATCCCAGTGTTGACGATCCCTACACCAACAACGTCTTGCCTGAATGTGATGATCTCTCAAACAAGGGATCACGCGAGGACGTCGGGCGCGAAGGTGACCCCTATGCAGTCGATTCCGAATCGTCTGGCCACTCACTCTCACACCAGTGTCTGTTTGAAGACGAGCGCTGATCTGATTTGCTGTGATGACACGATTTCTCAAGGCCAAGGTACGGATAAATCGATCCTGGGCTTGAGTTGTCGCCCTTGGTCGACCTGAGCGTGGTCTGTCCTGTACAGATTGTGTATCACGGTATCTGGACCATAGCCTGCTTATGACAGACTGAGAAACATTCATCGTCCGCGACACAACCGCCTGTGTTGTGCCGATCTGTAGCATGCCAAGGGCACGTAACCTTTCATTTTGGGTAAGCCGACGCATATCAAAATTTGTTTTCTGGTCACTAAAACAATTAAACTGATGTTTCCCCCCTTGAATTCAATGCCACAATGACTGTAACATTCAAAGTCAGAGTCGTGCAAATCTTGGGTTGGACCCCCATGATGATCCCAAGCATCACCTGCATTCCATGCGGTAGCTATTGGTGCGTTTGGGCGTCACATGTAACTGGAAATGTTTCTTCTGTTAGGTTCTATAGTGACTTTTTTCGTAGTCATTTGCATATTTTAGTATTATGCCCCCAAAATCAAATATCCCCTACTTTTTTTGAATAGTATATTATATAATATGACACTTTGTTCATCCTTTTTTCAGATACTTAGTTTTAGAGCATGTGTCTGGCGGCGAATTGTTTGACTACCTCGTTAAAAAAGGACGTTTAACTCCCAAGGAAGCTCGACGTTTCTTCAGACAAATCATTTCTGCATTAGATTTCTGTCATAGTCATAATATATGGTAAGTGGACTTAGCAAAATACAAAAGACCTTTCTCAGTGTCTAAAATTTATAGTGCCCGAATGTTCTTGAAACTTGAAACAGAGCATTTACTGAAACTCACTGTAGGCTAATACTTAAATAATAAACCAAGCATAAAAATACTAAAGTCCCATGCCTGAGGCTAGAATTGGATCTCAAAAAAGTTCACAGTAGGAAATAGGACAATACAGCTCCCATTTTTGTCTGTAACAGTCATTTAACTCTTAGAAGTAGGAAAGCTGAGTTTTGTACCGAGGGGCTAAAATCTGTAGATACGGTGTGTTAATTAACAGGGGTGAGAAATTGTCTGAAAGTGAATTAATTATTGCCAGTGAGTTTTCTGTACTGGGTGTGTTAATTAAGAGAAAGGTTAAAAATGAATGACACAGTGTGTATTCTTTGTTTGGTGAGTCTTCTCAAAAGCGTTTTTATACGCCCACATTGAAATGTGGTCGTATATTGTTGTCGCCCCCGTCCGTGCATCCGTCCATCGGTCCGTCGGTCCAGCGCTCTAGAGGCTAAAGTTAATATCCGATTGACTGTAAATTTATACACAGTGTTTAAGGTCATTAGACGAAGAAGCCTATTGATTTTCAGCCAGAGTTATGGCCCTTGATCACATCAAAAAATCTTGTGGACGCTCTACAGGTCAAAGTTAATATCCGATTAACTTTAAATTTATACTCAGTGTTTAAGGTCATGAGACGAAGAAGCCTATTGATTTTCAACGATTTTCGATAATTAATGCCTAAGTTATGGCCCTTGATCACTTCAAAAATCTTGTGGACGCTCTACAGGTCAAAGTTAATATCTGATTGACTTTAAATTTATACACAGTGTTTAAGGTCATGAGACGAAGAAGCCTATTGATTTTCAACGATTTTCGATAATTACTGCCTAAGTCATGGCCCTTGATGACTTCAAAAACTCTTGTGGACGCTCTAGAGGTCAAAGTTATTATCCGATTGACTTTAAATTTAGACACAGCGATTTCCAATAAATACTGCCAGAGTTATGGCCCTTGATCACTTTGAAAAATCTTGTGCACGCTCTAGAGGCTTAAGTTAATATCCGATTGACTTTAAATTTATACACAGTGTTTAAGGTCATGAGACGAAAAAGCCTATTGATTTTCAGTGATTTCCGATAATTACTACCAGAGTTAGGGCCCTTGATCACTTTGGAAAATCTTGTGGACGCTCTAAAGGCTAAAGTTAATATCCGATTGACTTTAAATTTATACACAGTGTTTCAGGCCATGAGATAAAGAATCATAATGATTTTCAAAGATTTCGGATAATTGCTACCAGAGTTATGGCCCTTGATCACTTTGAAAAATCTTGTGACTCTCTAGAGGCTAAAGTTATCATCCGGTTGACTTAAGATTGATACACAGAGTTTAAGGTCTTGAGACGAATAAGTATATTGATTTTCAATGAATCTTTATGACTTGAACAGCTAAATCCATGATGTTAAATGTTTCATATACTAAATGTTAGCATGGGGCAGAACTTTATAAAAACCAAACAAATTCTAATGATTTTCTGATAATTACTTAATGAGTTGTTAATCTTAATCAGATTTTAATGTATTATAAATGTTTCATTACCGAAAAAAGTAAAAATATGCGAAAACTCTTGTTGACTGTCCGGACGAATTAGCTGCTGTGGGTGTATGTTTCGTTGCCTGGCAACCTATCTTTATAACAGCACCAAAAGTGTTTTATCAAAGACAAGCAGGTTTTATCAGACGCGTAGTTGTTAAATCTAAATTTACCGTATGATTTGTGCAGATCGGTCTTTATATGGATTTATACGTGCTGTAGCTAAATATGACTGCGTTCTTTAATCTATGCTTATTTCATTTGTTGATGAATACTACGTGTTTTATATTGCATACCACTGTCAGACTGCAGTTATATATATTACTTGTCTTTTGTGGGTTTTGTTGACATATTATCTGAGAACAGTGTCGCCTTTCTGTCTGGGATCAAAGAGCAGTTCCATGTGAAAAGCTTGCACTCTGGTAGTATAAATTATATAATAAAGATGAGACTGAATCCACATTTCATGGTTTATCAGTGCCATGAGTATAATAATAAAGCTATTTCATACAAATCATAAACAATTGCAATATTAACACATGATTAAATTTATCTGTTCTCATTATAAAACCCATATTCCATATTAGGTCATAGGTCAGTATTTTGCATGCAAAGACAAGCTTGTTACCAAAAGATGTTCGACAATCAGCTCCATTAACTCCTGTCAGCAATATCATCGTATACAACACAGGCATATAGAGAGGTCTAAGAAGAAATTTTGGAAATCTGTGGAAATCTGGTGGTGAAAAACACCACAAACCCAAAACTCTCTATGAATATTAATCTAAGTTGAAAATTTTGTGTAATGTGGTACCACTCAGGCACATATGGAACTCTTGTGGTGAAAAACACCACAGAATAAAATTTTGTAGAATATATTTTCCCCGCATCTTACAAGATGATAGGATAAACTATTATTGTTCCAGCAAAATAAAAAGAAAATGTTTCATAAATTTTTCATGGTCCACTTTTCCAAAACACCCCCAAACCTTGCCATGTGTAATTTTAGTATCAGAAATATAGGTAAAATACGTAAATTTGTAACTGTAGAGGCCACTAAGTCACTTTTTAATTCTCTGGTCACTTTCGATTAGATAACGTTAATTCACTTTTAGATAAATAGATAATTTACAAAAAACCCCAGAGTAATGCAGCTAGACTTGTTACTTTAACTAAGAAATGCGACCACTGGCTGAATATTACCTAGAGAGAGAGAGAAAGTTTAACATCCATTCGACACATACTAGGTCATTTTGGGACTAACATACGGTTAAATTTTTATACGCCCACATGGAAATGTGGTCGTATATTGCCGTCGTCGCCGCCGTCCGTCGTCCACAATTTCTTGTGAACACTCTACAGACTACATTTATCATCTGATTGTTTTGAAATTGATATATGTTGTTTGCATTAGTGAGATGAAGAAGCCTTTTTATACGCCCACATGGAAATGTTGTCGTATATTGCCGTCACCCCCGTCCGTCCGTCCATCGTCCACAATTTCTTGTGAACACTCTACAGACTACATTTATCGACCGATTGTTTTGAAATCGATATATGTTGTTTGCATTAGTGAGATAAAGAAGCCTATTTAATTTCAATAACTTCTGTTAATTTCTTCTGGAGTTATGGCCCTTGTTTCACTTTGTTGCACCTTGTGAACGCTCTAACGACAAAAGTTATCAACCGATCTGTATGAAATTTATATGCATCATTTAAATTAGTAAAACAAAGAATCCTATTGAATTTCAGCAATTTCGGTTAATTACATCTAGAATTATGGCCCTTGTTTCACTTTGTTGAATCTTGTGAACACTCTAATGACAATAGTTATCATCCGATCTGTTCGAAACTGATATGCATCATTTAAATTAGTGAAACGAAGAAGTCTATTGAATTTCAGCAATTTCCGTTAATTATGCCGTGAGTTATGGCCCTTGTTTCTCTTTGTTGTACCTTGTGAATGCTCTAACGACAAATGTTATTATCCGATCTGTATGAAATTTATATGCATCATTTAGATTAGTAAAACATAGAAGCTTATTGAATTTCAGCAATTTCCGTTAATTACATCTAGAGTTATGGCCCTTGTTGCACTTTGTTGAATGTTGTGAATGCTCTAATGACAACAGTTATCATCCGATCTGTTTGAAATTGATATGCATCATTTAAATTAGTGCAACGAAGCTATTTCCATTAATTACACCGCGAGTTATGGACCTTGTTTCACTTTGTTGTATCTTGTGAATACTTTAACAACAAAAGTTATTATCCGATCTGTATGAAATTTATATGTATCGTTTAAATTAGTAAAACGAACAAGCCTATTGAGTTTCAGCAATTTCTGTTAATTACATCTAGAGTTATGGCCCTTGTTTCACATTGTTGAATCTTGTGAACGCTTGAACGACAAAAGTTATCACCCAATCTGTATGAAATTCATATGCATCTTTTAAATTAGTGAAATGAAGAAGCCTATTGAATGTCAGCAATTTCCGTCAATTACTTCTAGAGTTATGGCCCTTGTTTTACTTTGTTGAACCTTGTGAATGTTTGCAGAACTAGATCTGCAACTGTCCCATGCAGATATGAAAACTTTCATATTTATCGTCATGTGTCACGGATTATAACAAAAATCTTAAAAGAGAAAAAAAAAAGAAAAAATAATTTTCAAAATTAGTGTAGTACAACACTAGGATCTGGAAGAGTTGTTATATAACAGGCGTTCTGGGTGGTGTAAGGGATCAGCCAATGAAACCATCTGTTACGCCGACTGTATGGCGTGCCATGCACGAAACTGATTGATTAATCAATGTCTGACGTCATACGGTCAAAAGCCGCTCGTACGACCCCCGACGCGACATTCCAGTATAACTGGTCAGATCTTCATGTAGTGTAGGCCATCGAAAGTATAAAAAAAAAAGAAATGAAATTGGAAAATATGCATAAGCCTAAATATAGCGAAAAGCATTTCACCCAGACAAAAAAATAATCTGAAAAATAAAGCGAAATTACTGAGACTTGATTGACTTCTGGTTCCAGAAGTTTCAGAACAATGGATCGAGTCGTTTAAAAAAGGGATGGATTAGAAAATGAAATGAAAATGGCAGGAAAATATCGAAAAATTAAATGCGCTAACTTTGAATGGAACTTATATTTTTGGAATCATACGGACCTCAGCTGTTCGAATATTTAGGTCAAATTTGCAAATTGTTTGTGGACACTCTACAAGTCACAATTTTTATCTGATTTTGACGAAACTTGACATGTAGGTCAATCTCCCAAAGATCTTGGTTGCTTTCGATATTGGCATGTATCGGATTGAAACTTCATGGATTATGGCCCCTGCTTGTACGAAAAATCACGTTTTTAGCTTG